GAGGATTTTATATCAAGACGGACCCCGCCGGCCGGCACAGCCCACATTTAGTTCGATTTATTTAGTTTTAGTAAGAATTTCAAGACGGACCCCACCGGCGCACGATCACGCCAGGACGGACCACGTCGCGCTGATGCGCTGGCGATAGTTTCGGCCCGGCGACAGTAGGGCATGCCGACCGACCTAGAATTACCCCGGGCGTCGCTAGAAAGAACAGGCATCTTACAGGGCCGGAGGGGCCCCGGTGTCGCCGCGCCTGAGCTCGTGCAAAAACGGAAGATGCCTCGGAGCTGAGACTGGGCGGAATTGGCTCAGGCGAGTCGACACCACGGCATAGTCGACCTCGATGTCTCCAAAGAAAGATTCCGAAGACGAGCCAGGCTTCCTCCGATTGAACAGATAAACGGACGATAGCGGGTACGGACCGAAGGGAAGTCGCCAAAAATGACCATTCACTAGCAAATCGACCATTTGTGTCTCCCAGTTGAACACAGCCTCGAAAGAGTACCATTTCATCGGCTTCGCGTAGCGTTCAAGGACGTACTGGGTTCCCGAGCAGTCGTCGTAATATACGAGCCGCCTGTCTTGGTTGGCCAGCATTCCGGTCGGTACTCCATTCGGTGCCGCTGGGGAATCAAATGCAATTCTGCACAGGAAGGGTGGGCGCCCATCAGCGTGTTGGTTGTAAGTTTCCGGGTTTCGCCACGAGGACAGCGCAAACGAGGGGCCTCCGGTCTTCGACCTGTAGCAGACGTGCACCTTGAGCCTCTGCACACGATTTCGCGATCCACTGGCCCGCCACACTAGCCCACCCAGGTGATCAAGGCCCAGATATGGGAATCTGCTCAGCGCGATGCCGAAACCGGGCTGCCAAATCGCCGCGCGGAATGACGGGTCGGGGTTCGGCTTCCCTCCTGGTCTGTCCCCCAGTGACGCAACACGTTCCCAGTTGTCTAGGCTCCCCCATGACTCGCGGAAATGGACCATGTCGTGGCCGCAGTTGGACAGGGCGTCCATGATGCAGATCTTGAATTTAGGTGTGGCCTGGGCAAGCGTCACCAACACTCGCACGTGATCCGCAGCGAAGGACCGCGCCAGCGCCGGCAGCGAGGCGATGCTCGATAGATCCAAGAAGCGAATCACGGCGGCGGCTTGATCGCGGTGGCGCCAGAAAGCCGGGAGGCCGTGCGACATCGTGCGATGAAGCTTGTCCATGTCATCAGATCAGTTTGAATGTCATGATCGACGGCCCGCGGGGTCCATATTGATATTCTTTGCATTTGCGGGGTCCGAACTGATATTCTTTGCATTCGCGGATTGGGCAACATTCTTCTCGAGCGGCGTCGCGCAATGCGGGCGCTCCTCGTCGGGGCCCTCGCGGCGTCGGCGGTCCCCGCGGCGCGGTCCGACGACGGCGGCGCGTCGCTGGCGCAGGCCGTCGCGCCCGGTTTTACCACTGTAGCCACATACAACTAAAAGTTTCTTTACCAGACAAAGATCAATTTAAGAAGTATAGTGCTTGTAAAAAATTCAGCATTGGTATTATAAAAAAAAGCTTCAGATACATTTATTAAATCTGCTATCAAAAAAACAAGCGTGATATCTAAAGATAAACCAGCACCACCACCACTACCACTACCACCACCAAAGCTAGATGCCACTCGGCGAACAATCCGTTTGAAATCTTGACCACCACTTGTCGAGCACTTCCTCCAGAAATGTCGTTGTAACCCACGCATGGTCCTTGAAGCCCATGACTGCACGCTTATCCTTAGCTGAAGCCCGCGGCTGCCGCGAAAAACGCCTGCAGCGCGACCCGCGCTTGTAAGGCCCGCGCCTGTCCACTAAACGGGCGCCCCTGCAGCTCCGGCGGGACTGGGTTGGACACAACCATGGCCGCCGCTGCTCCAACCCACCCTATGCCCCCTCCTCAGAAAGAATTTCGCCGGCGGGCTGCTTCAGC